GATGGCAGAAGCTGATCCACTACTTCTTTGAAACTCAAATACAACCTGGGGGAAAAGTAAAGGATAAAGAGTGAATTGGAAATCTCGGAGAGTGGTGAGTTAATACAAAAATAATATTGTAAAACTTTTTTCCATAAACAACTGAAGTTTCGAAGCTCTGTAAACAAACTTCAAAATAATAAATCATCTGATTTAAATTTCATAAAATTGTGAGTCATTAAAAACTCAGTAAACTTTCTCATGATAAACTTGTAACAACACGCATTTTCTAAATAAATTTGTAAATCGTTCTCCTAAAACATAAACAGAACTAGTAAAACACTTTCTAAAATCACTTTCTAAAAACATATAAAATATCTTATTTCAACCATAAAATAGGTTAAGAAAACTCAATACCACATATGTACCCACATTCTATTCTGGTCTACTGGCGCTGAGTAATCTCAATACGCACAGTAGAATAATTCTATTTATGATCCACTAGTATAGAGTAATATCAATATACATAGTAGAATAATTCTCTCAACGCGCGGAGTAAAATGGTCCCAAAGACCTTCTATTTCTGGGTATACTATGGAAAAACAATCATATAGCATACGGGTAATCACCTGGATACAATAATATGGTAGTTTGAAAACTATTCTCAATCTCATAAACTGTTCTAAAATTCTTTTTTCTTCTTTCTAAGAACTTTTCTTTCTCAAACCACTTCTAAATTATTTTTTTCTAACTTTCTCAAATATTTCTTTCTAAGAAAATTTCATAAAATTATATTTCTCAAACTATTTATGAAATGTTGGTTTTATAAAAATTCTAAAACAATATCTGAAATCTCCCGATCTTAATAATATTATTTCATAACAGTTTCTCAAATTCTTTCTGAAATCTTTTCTAAAAACTTTGTACAATTCTAAAAAACATAAAACATTTCTAAAATCGTTCTTTCTAACATCATTTCAGTAAACTTCAGACATTTCTCTGGAATCATAAAGTTTTTATTAATTCTCATATTCAATCCAGTTTCTTTCATTCTAAATCAAACATTTCTTAAACTTCACACATCTTTCTAAATCACAAAACATTTCTCCAAATTTTAAAGCTTCTCTAAAATCTCAAACAACCAGAGTTATTTTCTAAATTCTAAAAAACATTCATAAATCCTGAAAACATTTCTAAATTCTCAGCAACACAATTTCTCAGCAGAAATGATCAAACATACGTAATATATATTTTCTTGAAGTTCTATAATAGATATCTTAAAATATTTAAGACAACCACTCACAAATCTTTTAAACCGGATCGTACGCTGTTCCAAATTCCGCTTAACCTGAAATATCAATCCAATACCAAATTATTTCACTTAATTCCAACGTAACCTAATTCCAATTTAAATCTACAATTCTTTAAATTAAACCACAAAATTCAATCAACAATCTCATTCTCTTTCTACAATCCAATTATACTTCTTTCTCTCTCATCTTCTTTACAAGTGGGACCCACATCCCACATTCATTACCTTTCAACATCCATTTCTCACGTGATTAGCCCAATCTCCCAACATTTCCTTTTTCTTTCTTATTTAATTTAGCCCACTCATTATCTTCTTCTTGTTTAACTTCAATCAACCAAACCCTCGTTTCTTTCCCTTTCATTTCTTCTTTTTTTTTTTCTGCAAATTCTACCAACCCAGATCTATGACCAAAAATGCATAAACTGAAGCTAAAATCATCAATACATATGTTCATGGAAATCAGAAATCCAAGTTCTCCATCTATTTCAAGAGATTTCTTAGGCACAACAAAGAATCCATAAACTATTTCTTCAACCTTTATTTATTCCCAAATCTTCAAATGTACTTTAATTACCACTTTTTCTTAACTGCTAATGTTGGTTCTTCAATCCGGCTTCAAAATCACCATCAACTTCTTCCTCTTTCCCTCTGTTTCGGTCCAATCGACCAAGGATCCCCTTTTGTTTTTCTTTTTCCCTCTTTGTTTCCTTCATTTTCTTTCTTTTTTTTTCCTACCACCACGTGTCCACTCACACAACACACACATGCACCCCATTTTTCAATTTCCTAATTTTTTGTAAAACACAAAAACTGAAGAAATTTTTTTTTTCTTTTTTTAGCTCAAAATTACAAAAATGCCCTTACAATTTTTATCTATCAAAGATTTATTCTCAATCGATAAAGCATTTTACTTCTTTGATAGCCTAATATATTTAGATCTAACTTTTTCTAAATCATGTTGCATAATTTCAAAAGCATCATACAATTCATCATAAGTTGGCGGCTTACGAATTACCTTATCATCATCGCTTTCAAGATCGCTCCCATTGTTTGAATGAGCCATCAAGCACAAGTTGGTTTCAACATGTTTTTATTTTACCACTTCGTGAAATTTTTCTTGATTTTGAGAATTGTAATCCTCCTTCACATTAAATAAATCATTAGTAGTACAAGGAGAATTTTCAACTCTATACATATTATCAAGAAAATTTCAAATATCATATGCATATGTAAAATATGAAATTTTATCACATGTTTTTCTATCTAAATCACAACATATGATATTTATGGCTTGAGTATTAAAAGAAAGCATTTCATCACTCAATTTTGATTTTGACAAATCATTTTCACAAACATACAAAATATCAAAATCAATAGCAAGCAAAAATATTTTTATTTTATGACTCCAAACATCATACTTTCTACCATCAAACAAAGGAGGTCTATCAATATATTGACTTTCAAGAAAATCTAAACTTTTCATAAATCTAGCAATTAAGCTTTACAAATAATTTTTTCAAAAATTGAGATACTTAGTATCAAGATAAAATTTGAAAAATAATTTATGTAGAAGAGCGAAATCTCGCTCTGATACCACTTGTTAGCCTACGAACTATCCACATCATCTTCTCGGATATTTTTCATTTATTGTTTCGATTGTAACTTCTCCATTTGAGCTTTGATTTGCGTGATTCAAAAGATGTTGGAATCGTTGTTTCGAGCTCTACGCTGTGGACACTTATCTTTATAGAATATTGAGTTCAAGGGGAAATAGAATAAGTAGTGATGTGATCATATTTGGGCAAAAGATCCAAGAATCAACCTATGACAGTGAAGAGGAAGATAAAGATAGGAAGCTCGCGCACCCACGCTTCTGCTGCAAGCGCTATCTCGCACCCACGCACGATTCTCGTGCGCGCGCCCCACCATACGACAGCGTGCACCGCTGCACACCCACTTGCCCGCGCTCGCCAGCCACCTACCATTCTAACGCCCGCACCCATGTCATGCTAACATAGTAAGAGGCTAGCACCTGCCCCAAAGCACGTGCTCGCCTGACCGTCGCCAGCCCCCCCACCTGCCTCCAGCATTCCAGCGCGTGCCCACCTGCTTCATGCGAGCACCTATGCGATGCCACCCGAACGCTCGCCTGCGGTGCCAGTGCTCCTGCGCACCTCACCCGCCTACGCCTGCGCGCGCAAGCCCAACGCCTGCCTTGCACGTGCCACACCGCCAGCCCTATGGGCGCCCACCTGATGTTGCCGCCCATTCTTTTTGGCACCCACCCTTGGCGCCAAACATCGTTGCTTGCCGTCCACTCCATCCCACTTAAGGAAAATATTTCCTTATTTTTTTGCTAGATTATATTATGAGATTTGTTTTGATTTATTTCTTTTTGATTTATCAATTTTAAATTCATAGGCAATTTAAAATTAGAGGGACTAAATCGTTATAAACTAAAGTTCAGGGACTAAATTGTTACTTTATCGAAAGTTCAAGAACCAAAAGCGTTTTTTAACCAAAGCTTTATAATAGTCATAAATATACTTGTGAGCGAGGAAAGTAAGAGAGAAAGAATATAGTACAACTTTTAATCCATATATCTATCATTAATAAAGCACTCCCAATTATAACTAACCTTTTTTTAGTGCACGACTATAACTAACCTTAAAATTATAACAAACTCACTTTAAAAACTAATCATATTCCCTTGAAAATATATACTTGACTAGTTAACTATACTCAAGTTGACATACTTGACTAGTAAACTATACTCAAGTTGACATACTTTTAGGAAAATACTAACCCAAACTTATTGGAATTTTTAATATTACATACATGATGACAAATGGCATGCAATGCATTAGAACTAACTTCGAGCTAAAATGGAAAGAGGGCCAACGGATTTAATGATTGTTATTAAAACTCCAATCAGCACAACTAATCAGTTAGAATTCATGGATGGACACAATGAGAAGAAAGGTTTCTACAGTGTTAACAGGGGTTACAAGCTCCACACGAATTCTATCTGTAATAATGTATAGTTCTAAGGGAGTGGTGGGAAGAACTCGTGGAGTTTAAATGTTCCCCTAAATTAGAGTTTTCATGTGGGGGACTTTTCGGACTCGTTTGGTAACGTTTTTGTTTCTTTATTTTAATTAAAAAAAATGTAGTGCATGGTTCAAACCTCAAAGAATTCAACTATATAAAAATAATATTTTTATTTATATTTTGGAACAAATTGGAAATAGGAACAATAAAGGAGAAATTTGTTTTGGTTGGTCCCAAAATTTCTATACAATTGTGAGAATGTTCCAAAAGAGGAGAAACAAGAAACAAAGTTAATTATTAAATGCTTAAATTTCTTAAGAAAATTAGAAACGAGAAACAAGAAACAATAAACGAAAACGTTACGAAACGACTTAATCACAATTACAATCAAGCAATGATAGTGTAAAAAAAAAGAGGCACGAGTGTCTTAATTTTTTACTACATGTAACCCAAAGCAGTATTTGTGGTTTTTCATTTAAATTTCCAAAAAAAAATAATAAAGTGGGTCCCCGCATCAGTCGCCAGACCCGGCTGCCTCGTTTCATTGCGTATGGTTCATCAAATTCTCCTTCACCAATCACCTTTATCCACGTTTGTGTGAGTGCTAGATCCGTCCGCAGGTAACCGCGCCCTATCTTCTCTTCTTTGTTATTTTCGTTTCTCAAAGATCTGCCATTTGCGCAAAGCTCTGTGCGCTCACTCTCTCTATCCAACGCCATGACCGAGCCCACTGACCAATCTCCCTCTCCATCTTCCTCATTGCCTCCGAAAGATCCAATTTCTCTGATTCGTCCCCGCCGCGAGCCCTTCGAGCATGGCCTCCTCCCGATTCCCAAGCTCGTCTTCTCCGACCCCATCCAAACCCTAATTCCACTCAAGCAAAAGCTCGTCGACGCTTCCCCGACCCACCGGGTTAACTCTGCCGCCATTTCCGAATCACTCCAGATCTCCATTGACCATGCACGCCTCGTCCTTGATACCCTTGCTTCCGTTCTCCACTCCGATTCCGACCCGCTCGTCAATGCTACCCCGGACGAGATTGACTCTGTTGGGGTGGATGTCCTCGATCTGGTTCTCTTCTTGTATATTCAGTCTTATAAGAGGTTGCTTCCACGATCGCATAAAGACTCCGCTGCTGTTGCCGATGTCTGGCCTTCAACTTCTGCTTTCGATGGGTATTTGTCTGCTCTTTCGCCGTTGCAGGTAAACTTTTGCCCTGGGGTTGTGTTTTTTTAATGTGAATCATACTGCTCTGAGCTTTTAGCACTAATGTGGATCTTGGGGGTGTACTGGGTTATTTTTGTATATTTAGCTTGGGATTGAAGAAAGTTCAATGGGTGTAAATGTTGATCGATGACGATAAATTGCGTATCCTGCTGGTAGTAGGCGAGCTCTTTTATGGGTTTCACTGTAGAGGGTTCAATAGTTTATTCGATATGATGGTTCATTTGCTCATTTTTGCTGGTTTCTTCGTAGGTATTGCCTGGGGTTTAGTAATGAGGCTAACTAATTTCAAATAACGTGAAAGTAAATTATAACGTGGGAAGAATTAAGTGCTTCAGTTTATTGGAATCGGTATATAAAATTTGGTGTCACATATACTTTCTTGTGATTGTTTTTCTGGACATGGTTTTCTTTTGGTTCTGCTGAATTTTTCTTGTTCACAGTAGCATTTCTGCATTGTAGAAATATCGCTTCCTCTATCTTTCCATGCATACAAGCAGGTGTTTACATGTGCAAGTAACCGAGGAAGTTGATTGTTCAATTTTAGATGCTTTACCACTCAGGTTCATTGTACCTGCACATTTGTGAGAATTATCCCTTCATGTCTGTATGGTAGAAATGCTGATATCAATCACTTTATGATCAGCAAACTGCTGAAATAAGCTCAAATTTCTTCCATCACACTGCAGCTTGTGCGCAGCAACAGCCGTCGATTCATGCCATCGCAGGCTGATGAAGAAGCTCATCAGTTATCATATTTACAAAAGCACTTGGCCAACATTCTCTCACTTTTGGCAGATACTGTGGAGGGGGAAGGCGAGGAGTCTTTGGTTTGTAATCTTTGGATACTACTCTCTTTATTTTTTATCTGTTTGTCCTTTTATATTTTACTTTGTTATCCTTTAAAAGTAGAAATCAACCATGGTGAAGTAGGAGATATTAGGAAAGCAAATACTTGTGTATTATTCAATGTTTTAAAAGGCTAAAGGCGGCCTCGAGGCTTTTTCTCTTGAAAAGGCGAGGCGTAAGCCTCAAGGCGGTATGAAGCGTAAGCCTCAATTTTAATTAAAAGAATTAAACAAATCCTAAATTTGTGTGGTCAAGTATTACCAAACATAATAGTTATATAAAATTATCAAAATATCCACCTGTTACTTGTCACTCAAAAAAAATTCTAAAAAAACATCATAACATCACTACTATTATCACCAATAGAACTTACTTATTCTATAAATTGTTGTCTTCAATATTTTTAAAGTCTAGGTAGTAAAAGTAGTAATAGATTGAATTGTTACAACTCCTGCTTAGGATTCCATACAAAAAAAACCTTGATATTTTTTAAGAATTGGAAAAAGTAATAGTATTCTTGTAATCATTACACGAGGCGTATACTTTAAGCCTCAGTGTGTTTTCAAAGAGGCGTAAGCCTCTTCTATGCGAGGCGTAAGCCTCTTATAGTCCCAAGAAGGCGTAAGACTTGAGGCTAAAAGTTAGAGCCTTGCCTAGAGGCGGGCCTCAAGGCGTAAGCCTCAAAAGCCTTTTAAAACATTGGTATTATTATGTTTTGGGTTTTAAAGATTGGTTTCAATCTTTTATCCAATTTTTCCTCCAATGACCAGTGAAGTTTATTGTAACTTGTAAGCTAGCTCTGAAATGAAAGGGTTATGGAAAGCTAATTGTTTTGAAATGTAGTTAATTTTCTCTGCTATTGCATTGTGGTCACAAGACTAAATCTTTTTGTCAACTTTTGTAATTTTCTTACATGGTCACTCAAGATTTGGTCAATGTGTCTAATCTAATATGGGCTTGTCTTATTATTTGCATTTGTTTTTGTTTTTTTTTTTTGATAGGAAACCAGGGAAAATATAAATGTGTTAAAGCATTTGGCTTACAAATTATTTGTTTATCAGATTAATTTTAATTTTTAATTTAAATGTGCTTAATGCATTTCCTGTGTGTTAGAGGTTTGCTTCGTTTATAGGTGCTAAAGTGCTTTATAGCTGACTCCAACTGATTTAGACGATGATATAGATGCAAAACAAAGTCTACAAAATTGGCGCTCGTTATTTGCATGCTTGTGAAGTTGTGATGCCTTTCTTGTTTGCTAGTTTGAATATTCTCACTTCTAAACCTAGAAAATTTGTAATATTATGGGTGACGAAAATTTTCTTTGTTCTTATTAGATATATTTATTTTTATTCATTGTTGGTTTTACTTGAAAATAGTCTACTGTATTGAACTTTTTTTTTCATGTAATCTCATAGGTTTTATCTGTGGAAAGATTTGAGCACCTTGGATTTTTGGTTCAATTTGGTGATAAGGGATCTGACGGAATTCAGCTGAGTCAACATGCTCCATTTTTTGCTAATTCAGATCCTGATATGCCTGCTGTTCCTGTTTCGGCAGCTCAAGTGTTGGACTGGATTCTGCGGAACATTGCTTCTGCTTTAGAAAATATTTCAGAGAGAGCTTCTCTTAAAGAAAATGGGCCATCTGGTGCATCTGACCAAGATGTTGCTATGGCTGATGCATCCACAAGTTCGGTGAACAAGACTTCCAGCATGACTAGGGGTCCTAGTTATATTGAGGGAATTTCTAAGTCCTCTCTTGTGAAGCAAGCATCTGATCTCAAGGGTTCTTCTGTGAAGGTTTGTCATCGTTTAGTTTCTTTATTGTAAGGCTATCATTTTATTTTCAACCGAATGTATCAATCAGGGTAGATGTTGTGTTGTTTACTTTAAGTGTTTGGGTTATAATCAAGCTAAAATGGCTCGTATTATTAGTGAAGCTTCATATTTCTCGATACTGCTGTTATTTATATGCATTGTATTGTTCCTTCATTACGACTTCTGAACCAAAAACTAATTTCCAAACTCTCTTCTTCATGTATGGGCAAGTGGTAATGCCAGTTAGCGTTTGATTAAAATCAAGAGGTATTTATGAAGTTGGAAATGAATGAGGCAAAGTTTATTTGAGACCCTAGCCTCATGGAGGCAATGAGAAAGGTAAAGTAGTAGTATAATATCTTGAAGTTGGCAGTGTTAAAATTTTGTTTTCATCTGTGAGCCGTCTCTGGATATGATGTCATTATTTATAAGTTTATAACAATATGTTAGTTGTTTCTATCTTTTTAAACATTGGACGGCTGCCTTGAGACTTCTTCATGAGCTCTTGGACATTTATGTAGCTTACCTTAATGAGCTAGTCTCTATCTTTGTAGATTTGGAGTTAAAACAATCATCTTTTTTTTTTTATTATTTTATTGAGGGTCATGCCTATTTGAGTATGAAATTCAGTTTGACCCAGATTTGCATCATGCATGAGTTATGTTGCCTCTTTTTTATCTGCTGAGTGCTTTGTGAATTGAACGTTATATTGTAATGTTTTATTTGTGGCTACAGGTGCTTAACTGCCATGAGTCCGTCATTTACATATTAGCACCTTTGAGATATGCCACAATATATGGATGTTCTGATACTACTATTGTTCTTGGAGCAGTTGGAAAGGTAATAACTAGTAATAAAAATTGCATTTTGCTAAATTTTGCTGTTTCTGGCAGATAAAAATTGTTTGTTGGTCATGTTTGTATAATATTAGGTGGGGGAGCTATTTCACCTGTATCTTCATGAATGGAACAGATGCCTAGTTTATATATCTTTGCCGAGTATATTTTGGTGGTTTGAATTTGATTATGTACATGATGTGTAATGTGATTGTGGCATTTAATGTCTATTTAGGATGAGTTTGACATACCTTGTAGTTTAAACACTCTTTATAAAGGGAACTTTTTCTTTTCTTAAAGTAATTGTAATTGTAATAAAAGTGGCACTTAGGCCTGTTTAATTCAGGGGAATGGCCAAAGTCGTGATGATGTGGCAAGGGGTGCCAAACATAATGCGGGCTGCCCTACTTCTAAGTATCAATAGAAAAGGTGGGAGAGAGTGACTTTATGAAATTTTTGACTTTCTAAAGCAGCACAAGTAGCTTATCGCCTTCTTGTCGTTTCCTTGGTTGTTTCTTTCTCCATATTACTTCCTTAAAATAGGATCATCAAGTACATCCATCCATGTATTTGTAATTAGCTTGAAAGAAGAAAGGGGTCTGGTCTTCTAGTAATCTAATTCCTATTCTGGTTTAAGACAGTTTTAGTAAACTATATAAATAGGTTTCTGATTTCGATGCCAAAAATTTTGTAGTAGCAACATCAAAGAAATAACATTTGCCATTCTGATTGATTTTCATTTTGATTCTTTATCATTTCGATATTGGTATGGTTATATTTTCTCAAAAAGCGATTTTAATCATAAGTTTGTTTGGTTGCACTACATGTAACCGTGATTCTAGAAATGTCAAATTACCATAAAGTGATTTGAAAGTATTCCTGATCAATTATGTAGATGATTTGATAACATTCTTGAGAGTTGCCCTTTTACTAGTTTGATTTGGACTTGTTTCTTGGAAACCTTTGTGTAAGTTGGGCCCGAAGCAGAGAGTCGTTGTCAATGATGGAGGTGCTCTTCCAGCCCCCCTTTCATGATAAGGGTCATGTTATTTGGTGCTGTACATTCTTTGCAGTTGTTTGGGGATTTTGTTAGAGAAATAGGATAATTTTTTATTTTGTTAGAGAAATAGGATAATTTTGATGGGATGGAGGAGAGGTAGTAGGAGGAGGTGTGGTCCCTTGTGTTACTAAGATTTTGTGTAATTATCCTTTGGGCCTTATCTTTTTGGATTGGAACCCTTCTTTGTATGGTTAGTTTTGCTTCTTGATGGCTCCTTTTGTTAGGTTATTTTTTATATGCTCTTTGTATTCTTTCATTTTATCTTGAAAGTTGGTTTTCAGATAAAACTTTTTTTTGAGAAATAACTTTCAAGTGTTTATTAACAATATGTTATCTCTCTTTTGAAATTTTTTTTGAGTTATTGTAGTTCTTAGTTGGTGTAAATGCTTCGACTCCCCTTTCAACAACTACCCTCTTAATGATCTTATTACAAGTTGGAAGGCTTTCTTGTAATCAACCATGTGACCTTTTGTATATTTCATATCATCAATGAAATATCTGTTTCATAAAAAAGAAACAATATGTTGTCAATCTTATTTTTTAAAATGTGAGTTTTATTTGTTACCAAATATTGAAGATTAAAAAAAAAAACACTTTTAGCCCTCCAAAATCACTTAGGAAGTTAAACATACTCTTAGTATCTGGAGTGGACAGTTGATGAGTGTGGTTGTGACACAATTATCATGACCTCTCCTTAGCCTTGGGTCAATATGATGGACAATGTGGTAACAAACTCTTGGTTTCCTTTTCATTTTATTTTCTTCCACGGTGTCTGTTTTTTCGTGTAAGCTGAATAATTGAGTAATTTATTCTATTTTCATTTACTTATATATACATATAGACTTAGAATTTTAAGATAGTGAAGCTTTTGGCTGTTTGGGTAATTTAAGAAAAAGAAACATGGCTTTAGATTCTAAACGCGAATTTTACATGGAAGAGAGATCCATTTTGTACTTGTCATCAACGAGCATGGAGTTGAAAAAGTATGGTTGATTCACTATTTAAAGATCAAGGGCAGGTGGAAGTCCTTGAAAGTTTATCACCCAATGTAAACATCTGATGAAATAAGTAAGTTTGGGAGTAACAATGCCTCTTGAGAAGATTTTTTATTTTTTTTTGAATGAGAAACAATTTCATTGATATATGAAATTAGGGATATGAAAGGGGTACAAAAGGGTGAATCCCTATCCACGGGAAATACAATAAACATCTCCAATTGGATACTAAATCTGTAGAACTATAATGATGGAAAAGAGAACATTTACACTGTGATGCAACCAAAAAAACAACGGATTCAGAGATACGATTGAAGGGGAGCTCTTTTCCTTGGAAAATCTGATGATTTCTTTCAATCCAAATAGACCAAAAACTGGCTTGAACGAAGTGCATTCCTAGAAGCTTTTTCTCCTTAGTGAAAGGGCGGCCCGTGAGAAGGTATGTCAATGGACTGCTAGCTTCAAAAGGTAGAGGTGTGTGCCATCCAAAGGTTAAGAGGATTATATTTCAAAATTTCATTGAGAGGATACATGTTGTAAATAGATGGCCCTGTGATTCCCTTTTCTTTATAGAGAACACACCAATGAGGGGAGATTTGCATGTATGGCATTCTCTATTGCAATTTATCATGCGTATTAGTGGCTTTTTGGCTAACCTCGCATAGGAAAAACTTTAGCATTGATCGCTCCATATGGACTTGTATAATATGGGAGCTTCTTCATTTGGGGAGGTAGTAGACAACTCCTGGTTCAATGAGCTGGTCGAGAAGAGGCCTGAGGATTCCAAGCTCCATATGTATGTGTCCTGGTTCACAGAAGGCTGTTTATAAGCCAATATCTGAAGGAGTGATGCTAATTATGCAAGTTCGAATCTTTTAGATTTCTCCGAAACCGAAGGTCCCATGATCAATTTCAGAATCTGTTTAGACCACATTTCATCTACTGTGATCAACTTGTCAGCTGCCAATTCGAAAAGGAGAGGGTGAGTGCTGTATAGGGGATCCTTACTCAGCCAAGAATCCTTTAAAAAAGCTGTGGGTTTACTATCACCCACTTTGATGGATATCTTGTCAAAGATCAAAGTCTGTAGCTTTAGAATTTTCTTCCATAGCCCATGTGCTTTAGCTATTGAAGAGGCTTTTTGTCAGGGATGTTGAACAAAAGGCCCATATTTTACATCTATCACCTTCTGCCAAAGGGCATTATCCTCCACCAAATAACGCGAAATCCATTTGTCGAGAAGAGCTTTGTTCTTAGATTTGATGTTACATATGCCGAGTCCACCTTCATGCATAGACCATAGGTTACTGACCTTGTCCAATTGACCAAGCTTTTTCCCTCTCTATCTTTGTTGCTTTTCTATAAGAAGTTCTGGATAAGTCTCTCTAATTCTTTTGCCCTCTTTGATGGGATGGAAAGGTAATGAAGATGGAGGTTTGAGAGCGTGGCTTCTATAAGGGTAAGTCTTCCACCTTTGGATTTAGAAGAGTGCTCCCAAGAACTAAGTTTCTTCCTAGGTTTGAGAGCGTGGTTTCTATAAGGGTAAGTCTTCCACCTTTGGATTTAGAAGAGTGCTCCCAACAACTAAGTTTCTTCCTAACCTTGTCCAACATGGGATCCTAAAAGGAAGATGTGTTGCTTACCATTTAAAGGAAGGCCTAAGCATGTATTTGGTCGGGCACCATTTCTACACACAAACCAAGCTGCCAACTGGTTTACTTCTGAGTCCTCAATATTGATGTCAATCATTTCGGATTTTTGAAGGTTGATGTTGAGACTGGATGCTTCTTCAAAGATCCTTATGGTGTTGGAAAGGTTGTTGAGATGAAGCTTGTTCTTTGAAGAGAAAAAAGAATAGAATCATCAGGTGATGGACTTCCAAAGTGCTATTTCCCACAAAACAGCCCTTAATCAAATGAGATTCAGCAGCATGTGATAGCAACCTACTAAAACAGTAGACTATTAGTATGAAGGGGAAGGGTGAGAGGGCATCACCTTGCCTAAGGCCTCTTCTAGTTGCCATGAACTTTAGGTCTCCCGTTGATCATTATGAAGAAATTGGTAGATGAGATACAACCCCTAATCCATCTTCTCCATTGCATTCGAAAGCCTTTTGCTCACAAGATGCCAAGGTGATGGACTTCCAAAGCCTCTTGACAAGATTATTGCTAGAAGAAGCCCAGTAGGGAGAGGCCTTCTCAAGGTTATATCACCTAACAATAGATTGGGCCATGAGAAACTATTGGGAAATGTATGATAACTAACCAAGCCTTAAGTTTCAAAAGAGTCGTTAATGTAGGGAGATGAAGATCTCTAATGGTAGCTTCAAAATGTTAGACTTACTACCAACTGGGATGGTATTTATCAGACACTTGAGCTCCAAGGAGTTTTACTTTCATGTCTTCGTTCTTACACTTTAGGTCTTATTTCTCTGAATTGGAGTCCCTTATTGTATAGTTAACCTTTGAACTTAGTTTGTGGGCTATCTTTTTGTGTGCCCCTTGGCTTTGGGCTTCCCTTTTGTATTTGTTTCTTCAGGTTTTCAAAGCGCAAGGCGCAGTCCAAGACAACAAGTCTCCTGATCGCCTCAAGGTGAGAGGCGACAAAAAGGCGTCGCCTGAGTGAAGTGCGAGGCACACTATTATAATAATAAGAATAATATATATATGTATACCCTAAAATTTTTAAACATTAAAGATTGTTATATACATCAAACTACTGAGAACATACAATAACCATTAGTTCTAAAATTTGTTCTTCATAACCTTGTAAAACCACCTCATCATTGCTCTTCGATTTTTTCAATGTCTTCAGTCAATTAGTGTTTTCCCCTGAAACGTCTTTGAGGTTGTTGATCAGCTTCTTTGAGGCTTTTTTTCTTGGAATGAAAGCTAAAGTTTTTTTATTTGAATTTTTACTAACAACAAAACTTTTAGGGATCAGGAGATCAGGAGAGGCCTCCCGTGATAGTTTGGTCGCTTGCTAGGTTCGCCTCTGTTTGGGCAGTCTGTTACTAAGGATTTTTATTCTTATTCTCAATTGGGGTCCCTTCTTGTATAGTTAGTCTTCTGATTCTCGTCGTGGGCTGTCTGTGTATGCCCTGTCTTTGTGCTATCTTTTGTTTGCCTCTGTTGTCTTTGTCTCTTTCATTGTTTCTCAATAAAGCTTGGTTTATAAAA